ATTTAGTCTCGCCCTACTATCAGGGCTCTAAAATTGCTTTACAAAACTTTATACTACAAATATATGGCTTCGATGTATTTTCATTGTTAAACTAGGGTTTAACGCGTTACTACGGTTACCTTGTGTATAGTTTGTTAGGGTACGAGTGACTCTACTGAGAGATTTTACAATTCATGAAGAACTAGAAACATCAAATTTTCATGATCTTTATACGGTGAAATTACTTTCGTTCTTTATATGAATTACTAAGAAAACTTTCTCTTTCGGAGGTTCTTGTTTGTTACCAAAGTTCTCGCTACGAGTAGTAATACGTTTGCAAAGGCAAATTTGCGAGTAAATTCGAAATCTTCCCTCGTGCGAAATTGTGAAAAGCAAACAAAATTAGTTACTTATAGACTTATTAGAATTGTAAAATCAATTAGTACAGTAGAATAGACTTGAAAAACTGTTTCAGCGGAAGTCAAGTAAAACGAACATTCTTAACATAAATCGTTTAAACTAATGCGTGTTCAGTCACAAAAAACCCGGCGAAAGTTGCATAAATGTCTAACGGTGTACTCGAAAACTGAATGAATAAAACAGGTTTGCAACCTTCGGCTGTACTCTTAGAATTAATTTCTCTGCCTCTTTGGAGAGTTAAAATTAGTATTACAATATATTATCATATCTTTTTTTACGTAACGCCTTCATGACCAACAAGTCTATTCAAACAAGGCCTCAAACCTAGGAAATCAAACTTAAACCTAACATTCGCAATAGTTTTGAAAGTTAAAAACTATACATCGGACGCATTTCTCTTTCCAACTCTACCTCACTATACACAGTGTCCTTGTTGTTCAGCAAAGTACTCAGTGACAAAAGATGTCGCTCGGATGAATGGTTCTTTCGAGGCAAAGACAAAATCTTACCTCTCGCCTCTTACACCTTTTGACTATCCGATAAAAAATCGTTCCAAAGCCAAGGAAAGATTAAAATAAACCAATTCCATTTAAGAGGACAATCAGGAAGACGCCAGAATCCAAATTGATTTGCACTTGATTGCATGAGAGGACGTACGTTCAGTAACCTGGGAAACCTAACCAAACAACCTGTCGACTGAGTACTTCACTGAATCAAACATGATTTGTAGTAAGACTATAAACACTATTTACACAAAACCTTTACATGCATCTCTATAAATACGCTGATCTGTGTAGCAAGGTGTTTCCGCAGGCATTTCCGTCAACATCCAATCTCCGTAATATTTTTTCTCGGGGGCTCGAAACTCTGCGCATCCCGAAACAGCGTACCTCTCGTATCTGAGGCAATCTGGACAGTCACACTCTATGTTATTCCTTACCAGTACTCTCTCGACAGTGTTAGTCACCTTGACAGGCGAGAAATCGCTAGCAGAGTTACTTCCAGACACAGAATCCAGCTCGGAAATCTCCCCACAAGTGCAACGAGGGACGCGATCCGCGTCGCAAAGAAATTCTGTCCTTCGAGGTCTTTTTCTATGCGACGATCTTCTTCGATCGCTTTTAGTTCTTTGCTTGTGAACGTTCTTTAACGGTTCGCTGCTAGAAGCCTCGTCATCAAGAGGAGACGAGGTTCCCGTGGATCTCAGCGTGGACTCTGACGTGCTTGAGCTGCCGCCGGAGGAGGGAGGAAGGAGTTTGTGATGCCGACGTAATTTGGTGAACACGATGAACAGAAGAACCGCAAAAACAAGTACAGCGAACACAAACACACCAAGGAAAGTCAGCTCAGATTTTCCTAATGTCTTTCTTTGGACCACAGCGACCGCTTCGCTTTCTGCCGAGAACAAAACGAGAATGTTACCAGAAACAGGAAAAAAAAGTTCATATGTGCGTAGAAGAGATTAAAAGCATTCTCTAGTATTCCTAGGCAAAACTACGTGTGGCTCCTGGTGAACTCATAATTGTCGCAAAATTTATAAGACTGACACGAAAAAAAATGTCTAAGTGACGAACAATTTTGTGCCAGCATACTATGACCAAATTTAAAACATTAAACCCTGACATAAAAAAAAAAAGGTTGATGACGATAAGTGACAGAAATTAATACTCTTGTCTTAAAAATGAAATACATAGATAGACTGCTGACAGAAGGTTTTTCTCTCGAAATCTGGTAAGAGGTATGAGGTGAGACGTTTCAGGCGGTTAAACACTTGTTTTCAAGAGGCCCCGTCCACATTACACCGGAGAAGTTTGAAAATGCAACAATCACCGCTCATTTTGGATTTGTGTTTGAGGAAAGAGAAATCACATGATTATCGTGACGTCATCGTTTTCGAAAAGCTCCGTTTTCAAAATGTTTTCCGTCCACACGAAAACGCAGAGCCGGCGTCTTCAAATTCCTCCGGTTTGAAGAGCATTTTCGAAAAGCTGCGTTTCCAAATTCTCCGGCGTGAAGTGGACGCTGTCTAACACATGTGTTGCGTCACTTACTTTCAGTCCTACTTTCTGTCTTGTACGAGGCCGTGAAGCCTCTCCGTGTTCCATTGGTCCAATGTCCGTTGTGCTTGTAAAACAAGTACATATTGTTCCCAGACGAAACTATAGATTCTTTGTAATCATCGCTCTTTATTATGGTTATTTTGGGCGCGCTCGAGTCGTTCCCATCTCGTACAATGATGGAGTCACCGTCCATCTTCAAGGCGTCAAACCATAAATGCACCCTGTGGCCCTGAGGTAAGGTAATCACCCAGGTGCAGCTGGAGCGACCCGGGCGGGGGAACAGCTGCGGTGATGACGTGATCATCCCGTGCGGTTCTGTTAAGCGGCATCCACAGGAGCACGCTGACCCTGAAACTGCAGGCCATGTCATAAACACAGTTAGAGAACTGAATTTACAAAAGTTTGGAAAAATATTATTACCCAGCTATGTCCCAGTTTGGTAAAGTCTCAGGAGAGTCCATAAAAAAATGAATACTGTAACATTTTAGTTTATTCAGTATAGGTGATATGTTTTAGATGAGGTAACTGTTATAATCTTGTTTGAATGAGACTCGAGGCTAAATGAACCATTAGGTTTTCGACTTAGCCTTTCGCCTGGTTATGTCTAATTGTAGGACAGGAGAGATGAAGGAAGAATTTGCAGTTTTCAGTTTGGTTGAAGGGAGAACAAAAAAACAATTAACTAATTCGGGTATTGGCCTGACAGTAAATAATGTGGTTTTTTTTTTTTGGAAAATTTAACCACCATTCGAAAGTAAAATGTGCGATTAAATCAAGAAAAGGCAGTTGTTGAACCTAGGCATGCAAATCAAAGCAAATCTATTTTTATACCTGGACAGGGATTGAGTGCGCATGATCTTGACATGAGCGCCTTCCCTGCACATGTTGACTCCTTGTCCACAGACGTGCTCACGCTTGTACAGAAGCGATACCGATGTTGTTTTCCCTGTCCACAAGAGCTAGAACACAATCCCCAAGACGACCAAGTACTCCAACCGTCATAATTCGAGGTGCCTGCCAAAACAGGAAAGACATTTTCTTTTTTAAGCTGTCATTTTCCGGTTGGATAATCTAAACTTGTCAAAGTCAGCTTTGCGTGGGATCATTATGAATAGAATTAGGCAAGAGTGGCTCTTGAAAGCAGGCTTTGTGAGACTGCCAGTTTCGTGTTTCTTGTTTACAATAACCCAACCTATGTACGTGCTGTTTTTATTAAGGCGGGCACGTATTGATTTGTGCTAATAGTCAAGTGGCCTCGTGGTTNATTAAAACAACCATTTTTGACATGTCTTTCGTAAATGGCAGTCTTTTTTTTGTCATTTAAGACGACCTCACATAGAAGTAACTGAAATGATTGTTTTGACATTTTCTAGAAGGTAGTTAAATTCAACTGATGACCAGCTTTATTTCCGAAAGCTATAAATCCACTGACTCGATCTTTCCTAATATATCGATCAGGGATCCAATTAATATCCCTCCCAAAATCATTAAAAATTCATCAAGTTACAACTAAATTCAAGTTTCGGTTGCGAATGTGTATAAAATAATCGAGTACGTGTTTCATCGCATTTTCGAATACCTAGATATTTGTCAAAAATACCCCGCCGCGGCTGGGTTGCATTTTCAATTACCTCCTCATCAGATTTTAAAGACCATAAGGAGAGGATGAAACACTGTCTCGAGTGTTTGAGATGTTACTCCAAAGGAGCGTTTTATCATGAGGGAAACTCGTTTAATATTTATTATTTTTATAAATTAAAGACTGTATATTGTGTTTGCAAATTAACATCAGCTGAGTAAAATTGGTGGAGAATTAATTCAAGGTTTTGGTTCGGTCATTAATTCATTTAAAAGCATTTCAAAAAATATATAGTTTGTTTCCAGCAGTTAAACATAATGTCACATATTGCCTTGAACGTTTAATTCGGGCGGAATCCATTTGAAGATCTGAGACTATTCCGGACAAGACAGAGCCCCAGGGCCTGGTAACGAAGTAACGTTTTCCCGCGTTTCTGATATTCTCGTCCCCAGACCCGCCTGTTCCTGCGTGGCCAACACTCGCTCCAGGGTTTTCGCTCCAAGACCACGCGCGTCCGCAAACATACGGCTGTCTTGAAGGAGAGGGAAAATGTTTCTCTGGAGACAAATGATTTGCTCGACGAATATTTTGGACCAACAAACCGAGTTCGAGGTTCGCACTGTAAGTTGTAGACCAAGTGTTTCCCCTACGAATTTATGGCCCAAGCGCGAAAAGTGCGGGCCATAAATCGAAGATCCGTAACTTTCAGTGGAACCGGGAAGACAAAGGTAGTAAGATATTTCTTTTATCTCTGTGTGTGTGTTTGACGAGTTTGGAAACAGTTTCAAATGTAACGAGCCGTACGCGTACAGTAGAATACGGCCCCCTAAATGAACCAATCACAGTGCCCCGTAGTAAGTAAGAGGTATACTAAATAATCTGGCGAATGAATATCAACATTTTCTTTCACACAAAAAGGGGGGCGCGTAATGTGCATAGCTGTAACTGATCAAACAAACCACTACAGATCTGAACTTTTTTTTTCTATTTGTTATTTATCATATAAATCCGCGTTTTAGACTAAAAACTACCGTGGCTTTGTCCAAAGTCCCAAACTTAGTACTTTAAAGGATTTTGTCCCCGTTTTTTTTGATTCAATAAATAGTAATTACCTTTTAATAGTACAATATATCCTTTTCTGTCCAAAAGTATCTTAATTTAGTCTCGCCCTACTATCAGGGCTCTAAAATTGCTTTACAAAACTTTATACTACAAATATATGGCTTCGATGTATTTTCATTGTTAAACTAGGGTTTAACGCGTTACTACGGTTACCTTGTGTATAGTTTGTTAGGGTACGAGTGACTCTACTGAGAGATTTTACAATTCATGAAGAACTAGAAACATCAAATTTTCATGATCTTTATACGGTGAAATTACTTTCGTTCTTTATATGAATTACTAAGAAAACTTTCTCTTTCGGAGGTTCTTGTTTGTTACCAAAGTTCTCGCTACGAGTAGTAATACGTTTGCAAAGGCAAATTTGCGAGTAAATTCGAAATCTTCCCTCGTGCGAAATTGTGAAAAGCAAACAAAATTAGTTACTTATAGACTTATTAGAATTGTAAAATCAATTAGTACAGTAGAATAGACTTGAAAAACTGTTTCAGCGGAAGTCAAGTAAAACGAACATTCTTAACATAAATCGTTTAAACTAATGCGTGTTCAGTCACAAAAAACCCGGCGAAAGTTGCATAAATGTCTAACGGTGTACTCGAAAACTGAATGAATAAAACAGGTTTGCAACCTTCGGCTGTACTCTTAGAATTAATTTCTCTGCCTCTTTGGAGAGTTAAAATTAGTATTACAATATATTATCATATCTTTTTTTACGTAACGCCTTCATGACCAACAAGTCTATTCAAACAAGGCCTCAAACCTAGGAAATCAAACTTAAACCTAACATTCGCAATAGTTTTGAAAGTTAAAAACTATACATCGGACGCATTTCTCTTTCCAACTCTACCTCACTATACACAGTGTCCTTGTTGTTCAGCAAAGTACTCAGTGACAAAAGATGTCGCTCGGATGAATGGTTCTTTCGAGGCAAAGACAAAATCTTACCTCTCGCCTCTTACACCTTTTGACTATCCGATAAAAAATCGTTCCAAAGCCAAGGAAAGATTAAAATAAACCAATTCCATTTAAGAGGACAATCAGGAAGACGCCAGAATCCAAATTGATTTGCACTTGATTGCATGAGAGGACGTACGTTCAGTAACCTGGGAAACCTAACCAAACAACCTGTCGACTGAGTACTTCACTGAATCAAACATGATTTGTAGTAAGACTATAAACACTATTTACACAAAACCTTTACATGCATCTCTATAAATACGCTGATCTGTGTAGCAAGGTGTTTCCGCAGGCATTTCCGTCAACATCCAATCTCCGTAATATTTTTTCTCGGGGGCTCGAAACTCTGCGCATCCCGAAACAGCGTACCTCTCGTATCTGAGGCAATCTGGACAGTCACACTCTATGTTATTCCTTACCAGTACTCTCTCGACAGTGTTAGTCACCTTGACAGGCGAGAAATCGCTAGCAGAGTTACTTCCAGACACAGAATCCAGCTCGGAAATCTCCCCACAAGTGCAACGAGGGACGCGATCCGCGTCGCAAAGAAATTCTGTCCTTCGAGGTCTTTTTCTATGCGACGATCTTCTTCGATCGCTTTTAGTTCTTTGCTTGTGAACGTTCTTTAACGGTTCGCTGCTAGAAGCCTCGTCATCAAGAGGAGACGAGGTTCCCGTGGATCTCAGCGTGGACTCTGACGTGCTTGAGCTGCCGCCGGAGGAGGGAGGAAGGAGTTTGTGATGCCGACGTAATTTGGTGAACACGATGAACAGAAGAACCGCAAAAACAAGTACAGCGAACACAAACACACCAAGGAAAGTCAGCTCAGATTTTCCTAATGTCTTTCTTTGGACCACAGCGACCGCTTCGCTTTCTGCCGAGAACAAAACGAGAATGTTACCAGAAACAGGAAAAAAAAGTTCATATGTGCGTAGAAGAGATTAAAAGCATTCTCTAGTATTCCTAGGCAAAACTACGTGTGGCTCCTGGTGAACTCATAATTGTCGCAAAATTTATAAGACTGACACGAAAAAAAATGTCTAAGTGACGAACAATTTTGTGCCAGCATACTATGACCAAATTTAAAACATTAAACCCTGACATAAAAAAAAAAAGGTTGATGACGATAAGTGACAGAAATTAATACTCTTGTCTTAAAAATGAAATACATAGATAGACTGCTGACAGAAGGTTTTTCTCTCGAAATCTGGTAAGAGGTATGAGGTGAGACGTTTCAGGCGGTTAAACACTTGTTTTCAAGAGGCCCCGTCCACATTACACCGGAGAAGTTTGAAAATGCAACAATCACCGCTCATTTTGGATTTGTGTTTGAGGAAAGAGAAATCACATGATTATCGTGACGTCATCGTTTTCGAAAAGCTCCGTTTTCAAAATGTTTTCCGTCCACACGAAAACGCAGAGCCGGCGTCTTCAAATTCCTCCGGTTTGAAGAGCATTTTCGAAAAGCTGCGTTTCCAAATTCTCCGGCGTGAAGTGGACGCTGTCTAACACATGTGTTGCGTCACTTACTTTCAGTCCTACTTTCTGTCTTGTACGAGGCCGTGAAGCCTCTCCGTGTTCCATTGGTCCAATGTCCGTTGTGCTTGTAAAACAAGTACATATTGTTCCCAGACGAAACTATAGATTCTTTGTAATCATCGCTCTTTATTATGGTTATTTTGGGCGCGCTCGAGTCGTTCCCATCTCGTACAATGATGGAGTCACCGTCCATCTTCAAGGCGTCAAACCATAAATGCACCCTGTGGCCCTGAGGTAAGGTAATCACCCAGGTGCAGCTGGAGCGACCCGGGCGGGGGAACAGCTGCGGTGATGACGTGATCATCCCGTGCGGTTCTGTTAAGCGGCATCCACAGGAGCACGCTGACCCTGAAACTGCAGGCCATGTCATAAACACAGTTAGAGAACTGAATTTACAAAAGTTTGGAAAAATATTATTACCCAGCTATGTCCCAGTTTGGTAAAGTCTCAGGAGAGTCCATAAAAAAATGAATACTGTAACATTTTAGTTTATTCAGTATAGGTGATATGTTTTAGATGAGGTAACTGTTATAATCTTGTTTGAATGAGACTCGAGGCTAAATGAACCATTAGGTTTTCGACTTAGCCTTTCGCCTGGTTATGTCTAATTGTAGGACAGGAGAGATGAAGGAAGAATTTGCAGTTTTCAGTTTGGTTGAAGGGAGAACAAAAAAACAATTAACTAATTCGGGTATTGGCCTGACAGTAAATAATGTGGTTTTTTTTTTTGGAAAATTTAACCACCATTCGAAAGTAAAATGTGCGATTAAATCAAGAAAAGGCAGTTGTTGAACCTAGGCATGCAAATCAAAGCAAATCTATTTTTATACCTGGACAGGGATTGAGTGCGCATGATCTTGACATGAGCGCCTTCCCTGCACATGTTGACTCCTTGTCCACAGACGTGCTCACGCTTGTACAGAAGCGATACCGATGTTGTTTTCCCTGTCCACAAGAGCTAGAACACAATCCCCAAGACGACCAAGTACTCCAACCGTCATAATTCGAGGTGCCTGCCAAAACAGGAAAGACATTTTCTTTTTTAAGCTGTCATTTTCCGGTTGGATAATCTAAACTTGTCAAAGTCAGCTTTGCGTGGGATCATTATGAATAGAATTAGGCAAGAGTGGCTCTTGAAAGCAGGCTTTGTGAGACTGCCAGTTTCGTGTTTCTTGTTTACAATAACCCAACCTATGTACGTGCTGTTTTTATTAAGGCGGGCACGTATTGATTTGTGCTAATAGTCAAGTGGCCTCGTGGTTCACCGCACTAAACGAAAGGCACAAACTGAAAGCAGACTATATTTGTCATTAATCATCAGGCGCCGAAGCGTCTACCGTGAAGAACGCTTGCCACCTTTTGCAGCTCCGGATGATTAAACGAAAACGCCAAGTTGGGGCTTATCAATTTTTTTACATAATATTTCCTTCTCAACGGGCCATTAATGTTTTCGGTATGTCACAATATTTTAATCGTTTCCATGGAAAATGAATATTGCTGTTTTTCAGGCGTACGACCAACAAAAGACTGAAAAATTATTCAGCCTTCAAATCTTGACAACGGGAAAGTCGATTCGTCTCGCCTTTTTTTTTTTTTTTCCTTTGANTTTTTTTTTTTTTTTTTTTTTCCTTTGATTGCAGCAGTGTTTTATGCTTTGATGAAACTCATTCCTGAATAAAGCAATGCAATTCAGTTAATTGAGATTGCAGCGTGCCAAAGCATAAGCATTTCTTCATCAAAGTTAATGGAATAATTATTGCGTAAAATATTTCAATCATTATAATATTACAACGTCCACCGCATCGCTAGGCTTAGGGTGGCCTTCGTTACGTTTCACTAAAAATATATATTATTACTCAAAACAATACGCAATATAAGACAATTAAAAAACCTTGGGAGGTTTTGGACTATATACAAATCATTGTATCTCAAAACAGTCCTTAAATAGTGTATCCTAACAGTCAATTTAAGGACAATTTGCCTAGCTTTTTTGATCTGTTTTATCATGAACTTCGAGTAACATAGAACTTCGGATATACAACTCACTCAGGAAAACCAGTGTGAGCTACGTTCGATATTTAATTTTTCCAGTAACATGGAGAACAAAAGAGAAATATTAAGTCACACGTTGACTAAAACTTATGTTAATCACTTTCGAAACTGCTGCGTTAAGTGAATGCCTAATAGAGTCTAACAAGCGCTTTCAATGTCTATTAGCGCCACATTTGCTTCGTATTAAGTCTTTCTGAATCAGTACCAGTGGCGTTTTGTTTTGCGCCGCGGCAGATTAAAACCGATTAAAAGATATCCCTAGTTTTGCCTTGGCCGGGCTGCTTTCTATTTTCTTTTATATTAACTGATTAAATCGTAGATATCGTCCACAGATCTGACCAGTAATATTAATCATGTATAAATCTTACGTTCGCCTAAAAGCTTTTGTACTATCTGAGAAAACCACTTCATGGCTCACATTATTGTGGCTTAGCAAAGTGCTAATTTATCAGCTATTCTGAGTGCTTTTATATATATTTACTGCAAATAATAGCTAAAAGGAAGTTACGACGAAGCTATCAAGGAACCATCGGCGACTGGAGGGAAAAAAGGTCGCTCAGTTTTTGCTACGGAAGAAAATTTCAAATGAAACATGACAAACGTTTGAGGAATTATTTCAACATGGCAGTGATTTCAAAGCGAACTGTGTATTTAATGAAAACAAAAGTAAAATATTGGCTCCTGATGTAGGCGCCATACTGTCTCGCCTTAAGTATCCTTAACGATTTTTAAACCCAAAAATAGCTTTAACAAAGTCGTCCTTCCGGTTCTTTACGCCTCTCTTAAGAGGATTGAAAGCTTTTGTAAATGTCCTTTGCCCAATGTGGATTACATAACCTTCGAGACTGTTTCTCATATCATGCGATCAAAGAAATTGCATTCGCGAAGATTAAAACTCACGCAATACACGTGACTATCAATTGAGATGGCGTGACTGTGCTCGTGACAGCACAAAAAGCTACTTGCTTTAGAAGCTTGAAAATTTAGTTTTGAGCAATTTTGGATTCTGAAACAGCCATACTTATAAATAGGAAAACTGTATGTAGCGCATAACCTACTGATGGTATAAAGTTGCCAATAAAGAAAAAAAAAATAGGGATTTTTGTTTTCTTTCCTAGCTCTCTCAAAAGTTTTAACGATAAATTAGATTTTAGCCTTGACGTTGTTGGATTAAGAATACAAATCAAAGACTTGGCTACGAAATATTCGTGTTTGGTGCCATTTTTGACGAAGACCACTCTGGTCTGTTTAGTTAAAAGTAGCAACGAGGAATCTCCTAAGACGACGAGCTCTTTTTCACGAAATACAACCGCTTGCTTTCCCGTACCAGGGTTAAATTATTGTGGGAGCCCTTTTCGAGTTCGGCAATTCTTGAAGTAAAGCTAACTTTGACAAGATATAAACATTCAGTTATGATATCGGCCTTTCGATATTAAATACATTTGTGATATTTGCGATTGTTGCAGAACTAGAATTGTGATGTTTCATTCCAAACTTGTTTACCCTAACTGCTGAATTTTACATTCAGTTCCATTCTTAACTTCTTGAACGTGATTCCATACTCGAAGTCTCTATCTAAAGGGCAAACTGAACTGGTAATGTTCCAGATACCAAGAGTGTACGGAATACTGAACTTTTCTCCTCTTGTCGAACCTTGTAAAGGGCTCTTTTACTTATTCTGTGGAATGACAAAGTTAATTTTTTTTTAATGATTGAACACTGCATTTCACCGTCTGATAACATTGTCTCTTCTTTTCTTCGGTAAAACTTTTCCTGCACAGAGTGGTTAACGAACGGAAATAATGAAATATCAAAGGGGAAAAAAATACTACAAACAAACACGATGTTACCACACGAATTGGACTACCCCATAGCTTTAAATATAGGGTTTTCTCAGACTTTATCCAACAGACGTTAAGGTTAAAGCAACGTGGTACAGCCATGATACTATACAGCACCATATGATGTTCAAACTGGAATAAACGATGTTTAATGAAACTTAGGAACTGACCAAAATTTGAAAGCTCTACTACGATAGTGAAAAAGCCAATATATTTCACTTCCGTTGTACTTTTCCACTTATGCAATACTTCCGATAGTGGTGTTTTACTGGTAAACGAATATTCTTCGCACATAAAGCAGAGAGATTATCGTGGTATGTTTGCTACGCAACACTATATGGACACTGTTTTTCCTAAGCTCCTTATCGCGTCTATCAGGATTAATGGCTCTTAAATCTCACGTTCTTACTTCATATTTTACAGTTCTTTGGTGTATTGTCTTCCAGGTGATGTGGCACCACAACAAGAAAAGAAGTCCTTCATGAAAAATGCACAACGAATAATTTAAATGTGTATTCGAAAAGCTATCTTACACTTCAAATTTTCCGCGTCGTATACAAAACGAAATGGTAAAATAACTTGCACTGACCGCATTTTAAATTTTGCATTTTGTTTGGTTTAGTATAATCCTATTATTCAAAAACCCAACCACGCCCAGGGTACTAATGCTCAACCACTTCTTCAAGAATAGGAAGGTATGCAGCCCATACTGTCAGCCCTATAGCTTTTAACACTTCAAAGTTGTTACCAAAGTGCGTAGAATAGGAAGGAAACAAAAATATACACTCTACTTAAAGCTTAATGTCGGTTAAAATTCCGGCAATTTGTCATGTTGAAAGCAATGCTCTAAATATAGTAAACGAGAGCACAAGACGTTTACCACAGCAAGCAGAAGTGTCAATATTTATTCAGATTGTACTCCCAGATAATCTCTTCCCGCCTTTCTTCTTTGCACAAGCTCGAGAAATAAGAATAAGCGACAATCACATTATGTACGAACACGTTTTGGCGGGAATCCCTGGGACGATTTTGCGGCCAGTTAAAGGTCGTGTCACAAACTGATAGCATTTACTGCCATTAATAACTCTGCCACAGTCTACTAAAAGCTTTAAATGTGACCACCAATATTAAACACGAACTTTTCCTGTATTTTTTAGAAAAGGAATTTGACATAACTCCCGTACTGTTACCTTATTAAATCATGCGTTAGAGTCCATGAGACACTTAAGGTTTAAAAGGTCGTTAAAGTAGCTAATGGTCACTGGTTACACACACGAACGACACTACAATATTACATTAGCTGGGATTAGGCAAAATCGGTGTGATTTTCTAAGATATCCATTTTGTGACTGCTACATCAACTACAGTAGACTTAATAGTTGCGTTTCTTTCTCTTCTCAAAGCTATGCTCGATCGTACTTCAGTTGCTAATACACATTCAATACCGGAAATAAAATGTGACAGAGATGAATCACCTCCCTTCGTAGCTGTCTGCGGGCAATAACGTAACATAAACACTCCATGTCTTCGTCCTATTTTTTTGTCTGAAAACAGTGAGAGGCCTTCACCATTTTCGATGCTTTATAACACAGCTCTTTGTCAAGACAATGGCTTGCAATCAATGAAAAAAAAACCTTAATTAGATCAGTCTGCGTCAATAAGGTCAACATCATGAGACTCTAGCGAGAACCACAAACGACAGCCTTGACAAAAATACCACTACCAGCGTGAAACGATGGCTATATAAAAGAAAACAGGAAAAGCAATAAAAGCTAGCAAAACGCAGGCTTCTCATAAGCCACACTGAAAGGAAATGTTTGTCGTTGTTAAAACGGAGAAACTAAAAAACGGGAATTATGAACCAACCGCAAAAAAACAATGGCACTTCAAGAAAGGTGGTTTGGTCCAAGTGGATTAAATTTCACAAAAGAAAGAGAAAATTCTCAATTTTTTGACGTTATAGACATTTAGCGTGAATCAGGCACTATGTCCCACTATAAAAGAGTTGCCTCAGGTCTAAGTCCTAAAAGGATAAAATAATGATAAAAATTACAGAACTGATGTGTTTAGATGTGATGGTTCTGCATGTCACGTTCTGAAATGGGGCAAAAGATCGACTTTAATCTGCACATTCTTGGTCAGATTATTTCCCCGAACCTGACCGATAAATGTCCGGAAAGACAACAATGAAATATGCGCCCCGTTTATCCGTACCCCAACATGAATTTCCTGTTGACCGAAAAAATTGAACTGGTTCAGGCAAAGGTGAAACCAATAGCATCTCTTGAACGTCCCAAGTTGACTGGATGGTGAAAACAAAACAAAACCGCTTAGTATCTTTTGACCATTTATCATTTCGATCCAACGAAGCTAAGAGAAAGTGATTGACAAAGCAGCGAAAGCCAAGCGTTTTCTTCTCAAGTGGTACTTCTGGTTTCGCGTCCGGTGTTGCTATTATTTTGTTTTTCATTTACAAAGAGCTAGAACATTCGATAATTGCTCTGCTCAATTTCCTTTCCTATTTTTAACTTAGTTTACTTTTGAGCCACGTTGTTTGCTTGCCAACGATGGAGAGCTGCTGTTTTCGACTCATCGCGGGGGACGTAATTGAATGTTGAGTCAATATTTGGGACACCTATTGTTCCAGACTTCTGCCGTGTTTTATTTTTGCCAAAACTAGCCATGGCCACTCGATTCAATAGCCCGGCCAGGTTGATTTGTCTTTTGTGAACAAAAACAAAGGAAGAATCTCCCTAGTTCCCATTGATACTTGTCATTGGATGTGCAACGTCTGTTAAAAGCTTTTCTTTCAATTATCAGCAAACTTTCCTGTCGAGCAATTTCCATTATGAAGCGAAGAAATTAACAGCTTTTCGGAGTCGAGTCATACAATGGTGCTAATTGGCGCTTAATAGATCATGGACGCCTCACTTCAATTTCTTTCCTTCGTATTTAATTCTCACATCATTTGTTTTCAATTAACACTATGCACCAAGCACAAACTGGGTCCTGCTGTACTCAAAGCCTCAAACACAACTCGACCGAATGAATGGACTCCGGAAATCAATATTCTGTCCAGAAAATTGTTAATAACTTGATTCGTAAACATTGGTTTGCTCTCTAAAACCATTTTGTAATTTAATTTTCACATCCCTGATCGCCGCGACAGCAAACAGCTGTAATTCACCTACCTACAACAAAAGCGCCTCTTAGATGTAACGAAAAAAAGTGCCGGGACCTCAAATACTTGGCATTTTCACAGTTCGTATTGCAGAAAACGTCTTCGGAACTGACAAGGTGGTAATGAGAATTTAACGCCTTTTTACCTAAGGACTGTTTTCGAAGACCAAACTCGCGCTGAAAAACAAACGGCAATTCAACGCGCTGGCTTAGAAAACAGAGTGCACACTTAGAGAAAAACAAATCCTGGCGCAAAGATAAACCATTAACATCGCTATATTTGCCAACAGAAAATACACATTTGACAACATTCCACCTCATTACAGGGGTCAGGGGTTCGCACTGAATAACTGTAGTTTTATCGCTGATAACATCACCGCTCACTTACCTGGGGGATGCGAGGGCAGACACAGCGAGGTGACTCTTACTGTACTCTTGGTCAGACTAGATTTCGTGACGTAATGAAAGCAGTATTCTTTGACATAATCCTTGAACAACGAGCATGGAAAAAATGCCGCATCGTAGACATTTTCCACGGGTTTTTGCGCGGTAGGCTTCTTGGAGTATCTGTCCCCCATGACTATAGCATCGTGAGTTCTGACATTCTGGCAACGCGGCTGTGCGTATAAAATCACAAACGAATTTGTGCATGGAAATATGGTGCTGGTCGGGGTAGACAGAGTTTGTTGACCCCAATAAACGTGGATTGATTCACTTTTAGCTAGTGTTAGATTTTCGAACCCAGTCTGGTACTCAAAACGGTAGATTCCCTGAGTGTCGAACACCTCGCACGGGAATCCCATCCGAATCCATGACCCTTCGGGCTTTCTTTGCCTTCCATTGGACAGTTTACGAATGTATTTTCGGGTCACAAAGATCTTCTCGTGGCCTTTGATGTAATAGAGATTAAGTTCGTCGCGGTTCTTGGGTAGACATTTTCGATTGTGCCGAATCCATAAAGAGCCAAAGCGGGTTAAGGCGGTGTGGTTTGTGGGTGTCTGGAGGCGGATTTCTCCCCACTTCAGAGTCAGCGTCTGCGAGATAAACGCCTCAAACCGACTGTCCGAAATACGATACTTGAACCTGTACACGACTGGGTGGTCAAATATTTCGCAAGGCAGAATCACGGAAATTTCGCGGCGATCCAGTACCACATTTTCTATATGACGTCTCTTT